TTGATTAAGCATTTGACTTTAAAAAAAATTTTTTAATGTTTATTTATTTTTGAAGGAGAGAGAGAGAGAGAGAGAGAGAGAGGGAGAGACAGGGCATGAGTGGGGGAGGGGCAGAGAGAGAGGGAGACACAGAATCTGAAGCAGGCTCCAGGCTTGGAGCTGTCAGCACAGACCCTGACTTGGGGCTCAAACTCACGGAGTGCAAGAGCATGACCTGAGCCAAGGTCAGACGTCCAACCAACTGAGCCATCCAGGTGCCCCGAGCATTTGACTCTATCTCAGCTCAGATCTTGATCTAACAGTAGTGGGTTCAAGCCCCTCATTGGGCTCTGTGCTGGGTGTGAAGCCTATTTAAAAAAAAAAAAAAAAAAAAAAAAGAAATGAAATGAAAAAAAAAAGAGAAAATAAATGAAAACTAGAATATCAGAACACTCCTCTGCTTAAAACTCATCAATGGCTTCCTGTTACACTCAGAATAAAATACAAACTCCTCACCACGGGCAATGGAAATTCCATGCATTCATACTTGTGTGAGGTCAAATTTTCTTCACATAATCAAAACAATACCTCATAATAGCTTGAAAACACAAGCAGATGTGAGAATCCATCTGTCTACAAGACATTAAAGAAAATTGGGAAAATATAAAACAATGTTACTATTATTACTGCATGTTTTGGGTTTTGAAAATATAGATATTTTTTATAAAATGAAAATGTTGCTCATGTTAGTTTTAATTCCTATACAATATTGTATGGCTTGGAAGGGTATCTTGAAAAGATGGGGTTTAAGCTGAGGCCAGTATGGCCCACAGGTCTTTAGTACAAGGATGAAAGGTTGATGAATGTCCCTAATTCTGGTTCTGTCTCATTGGAGGGCTTAGCTACAGAACAAAGACGCTTAGTGTGGTGGTGACCATGGTAACCCTGTAAACACATTGCCCTAGTCAGAGAAGAGTCAGGTATCATTGCCTCCCAACCTATAGCCCTTTCTTCTGGTTGCCTAAGTACCCTCAAAAAATTTCTTCAGAAGTAATCACGTTTTGGGGACAACTGGTTGGCTCAGTTGGTGGAGCATGCGACTCTTGATCTCAGTGTCCTGAGTTCAGGTCCTACGTGGGGCATAGAGCCTACTTAACAAAACAAAACAAAACAAAACAAAACAAAACAAAACAAAACAAAACTAACCACACTCTTTTTTTCTCCTGTACTGGAAAATTTAAGGCCTTGAGCCCACTCCCTCCCTTCCATCAGCACCTCCCAGGCTGCTCCAGACACAGAGAAAGGCAATCTAATTACTCTTAATTGTAAATTGACTAGAGATCAGGCTAAGCATTGGTGCAGCTGCCAGTTCTCAGACACCATCATTACTGAGCCAGGAGCCTGGAACCATCAGATTGGGGGTAGTGGAGCAAAAAGGCATCTTATCATTTTTTTGAGGATAGAAGGGACTTTCAAGAGACACCTGCAGTTCGGAGAGACGTAGCTAATGCCCACCGTTATGGCAGAGCCCGGTCAGGAGGCAGGCCCCCTGGGTACTACACCAGCTCCTTGGTTCTCCCTTTCCCCATTGCCCTGAGCACAACACTCAGCGGGGTGTCGGGCCTCGCGCCCCGCCCAGAGGGCGTCGCGCTCATCTCCATGGAGCCGGTCCCCGCCCTCCTGTTGCCTCAGGTAGATGGGAGAAGCTCAGCCAATCAAGAGGTCTCTGAGGCAAAGAAGGCGGGACGAAGAGGAAAAGTTTAGGACAGGAGCGCCAACCAATCCTGAGCCTAGCTGCCTGAGCGACGGCCACCAGCACCCACTTGCAGACGCCAGTCAGAGCGGGGGGATGGTCAGTGGACAATGAGCCAATCCGTGCCGAGGGAAGGCAAATTTGAGCCAATTAAAACTGAGAAGGTGGGAAGGGGCGGAGTTCGCCGGTGGCTGCTCGCTGGTGGGTGAAGGATCAGCTTTCTCTGCTAGTTCCCACCCTAGGACTTCTTAGCTCCTGGAATGCGAGAGACAGAGAGGCTCAGGGGAGTTCCTGGAGTGGGGCGTGGAGGCATCTCCCGGGAAGGCCTGGAAGCAAAAGAGACTCCTAGTTGGAGGAGCTGCTGGAAGCCGCCGGGTGGGCATCGAGGAAGCGGAGGCTGGTTAGGGGGCGGGACTTCCGGGGCGGTGCCTTTGCGAACGGGGGGCGGGGCCTGCTGCTAAGGTTGGGCCGAGG